CCTAGAGGCCAATTTGAGAAGATTGATCAAGAATAAGCTCCAAACTCTTTTGCACTACAAGAATCTCTATTGGAGGAAGAGATATACAGTCAATAGAATCAAACTTGGGGACGAGTGCACAAAATTTTTCCATGGTATGGCGACTATTTCCTACAGGAGAAATTCCATCTCGCAAATACTGAATGACCAGGGTGTTTGGATCCATGATCACGAAGGAAAAGTTGGATTATTGTGGAACTCCTTCAGAAATCGAATGGGTATTAGTGCCAATCCGCCTATGCTTTTCGACCTAGCAAATCTTATAGCGCCAGTGGACGGCCTACAAGATTTGGCTGAATCGTTTCAACAGATGGAGATTGATCTCATTGTCAAACGTATGCCAACTGATAAAGCACCGGGGCCGGATGGTTTCAACGGCTTATTTATGAAGAAGTGCTGGCACATCATAAGGAGTGATTTCTATCTAGGGTCAACCCGTCTTGAATGTATTAACACATCCTTCATCACATTGGTCCCGAAGATTGATAGCCCTGAAACAGTCAGTGATTATAGACCAATCTCGCTCATGAATTCTAGTCCCAAGCTGGTTACCAAAATTCTGGCAGACCGCCTGCAATCTGTTATCATTGGGCTGATTCACCATAATCAGTATGGATTCATAAAAACATGTACCATTCAGGACTGCTTGGCATGGAGTTTTGAATATATTCACCAGTGTCATCGGTCTAGGAGGCGGGCTATCATCCTAAAGCTAGATTTCGATAAGGCGTTTGACTCTGTTGAGCACTCAGTCATCCTTCAGGTCATGGAGCATCTGGGTTTTCCTACTAGATGGCTGAACTGGGTCAGTAGCATTTTGGGATCAGGCACTTCTATAGTCCTACTAAATGGAATCCGGGGAAAAATTTTAAGTGCAAACGAGGTGTGCGTCAAGGCGATCCCTTATCACCGTTGCTTTTTGTGCTTGCTGCAGAGTTACTACAAGTTCTAGTCAACAGAACTGCCACCATGAATTTGCTCAAGACACCAATCCCACAAGCCTCCTACTCAAGATCAGAAAGCATATCAGTCTTTGATGTAATGCAAGCTGAAGACCTTGATACACTGTTTTTTCTGCCATTGTCGCAACAGGCCTTGGACGAACTTGAGTAGTTACAGAATCACTTACAGGACATACCCTATGACGAGCATTCTCATGATCGTTGGACTCCAACATGGGGGAACTCCTGCACTTCAAAAAGGTTTTACTCTTATATTTTTGGGACTGTGGAGGCACACCCAATTTTCAAGGAGGTATGGAAGTCAGGTTGCACCCCGAGGATCAAATTCTTTGCTTGGCTTGTCCTGGTAGATCGGCTCAATACCAAAACAATGTTAACAAGAAGGCACCTTCACGTTCATGATGATGATTTTTGTGTCATGTGTGAGACAAGGGAAGAAGAAACCATTAAGCATCTCTTTTTCACATGCCCTTTTGCAAGCCAATGTTGGGCCTCAATCAACTTTGTCTGGGATCACTCAATCAACCTACAGGATCGGTTCATTCAAGCTAGACAGTCCCACGGACACAGTTTCTTTACTGAAGCTTCATTGATTGCTGCATGGGAAATTTAGAAAATGCATAATGACAAGGTGTTTGAAAGAAGGGAGCCGTGTCAAGCCAGATGGCTTTGTAATTTCAAAAATCAATATTTTCTCCGGTCTGTTAGATTCAAGGCTGACCTTAAGTCGCCTTTTTGCTTTTGGTTAGATGCTCTCAGTTAATTCTCTTTATAAGTATCTTGGAGTCCTTTAATTTTACAAAAAGTTCGTTGACACTGTAGGGATCTCCCCCACAATTTTTGCCATAAAAAAACATTAGAATAAAGTGGGTGACAGATAACATGGACATCTTTTAAAAGGGACGTGGTCTGTTATTTTCGAGATGTTCTACAGCGTCTCCCTCAAGCCTAAAATAAGTGTCGTTCTCACCTACCAAGAAATCAAACACTTTTAATTCTAACCAAATATATAAAAAATGTTAATATCTATAGTACTAAATCCATTCCAAATTATATGACGTATTGACTTTTCTAGAGCCAAAACGTCTTATAATTTAGAACAGAATGAGTATATAATTAGTATTACTAGATAGATGTTGAATATATTTTTCATAATAAATTTATTTGGAAATATAAATATTGTTAATATTTTCTATAAATCTAGTCAAATTTAAGAAAATTTAACCAGCGTCAATATTATAGCGACACTTATTTTAGAACAGTGGGAGTATAAATTAAAAGAATAGCATTCAACTCTAAAAGCAACTCCAAAAAACTAAATAAAATTAGATTCTAATTTTACCAACGCTTTGGTAGCTATAAAGCTTGCTACCATGATGACAGTGCAGACACTCCTGAAACATGTTTGGTAGCAATATGATTATCCAAGTCCTCGGCGTGGTTAACGTTTATAACCTCCGTAAAGGTTGGATCCTGCATAAATGTACTAAGAACAGTATTCACTATGTCTTTATTGAAAAAAAAATTCACCCTCTTGTAACCATCGAAGACAGCCAGCAGCCGAGCACCCCGTGCGCGACCACGACAGCCAGTGCGTGCTGCCAGCAGCGGCCGCGGCACAGGCGGCGGAACCAGCAACTTTGGCGTGTACGTGTGAAAATTATATACATGAGTATACATCTCAATAACTTTTTCTATGCTTCTACATATGTACTTAGTTTTCATAAAAAAATATTTTGATAAAATATAGGTTAAAATAGACAAAATGTGCTTTGTATTGTAATATTTATAAAAGTATGAACAAAATTTTCATTGTTTGGTGGGGGTGTGGGGGGTATAACCCCGATACCCACAGGACTACGCTGCACGGAGCACGGCACAGGTCGGCGTGCCTCGTAAAACTACGTGAAGATCTTTGGCGATCAAGGATGATCTTTTCGGATATACTAGATTCCGCAATCTCTGTAATTCCTATCTTGTAAACCGATCAGGATATAAACAACCGACCTGTAACTCTACCCCCGACTATATAAGACGGGTAGGGACCCTCCTCATTTTTATCTCATCTCTCATAATACAATCCACAATGATACAAAGATGTAGGGTATTACGTCAAGCTGACAGTCTGAACCTGCCTAATCGCTGTCTCGTGCGTTTTGTGTCACCTTCCGGTTCCCTCACGCGCACCTCCACCGACTCATCTACTACCGTGGGCACACCCCTCCATAGACTGCCGGACATATTTCGTCGACAGTGGCGCACCAGGTAGAGAGTGTGCGTGCTAAATCCATGGCGAGCCAGATGGTCCGCTTTTCGAGCTCCATGGTCCTTCCTGAGCCGGCCAGATCTTTACGGTCGCATCCATGACCTAGGTCATGGGCCCCGACGGCAACGGGGAGGTCGTAGAGGCGGTGCAGGATCACCCTGCGCCGATCGCGCCAACACCTGCAATGACATCTCCGATCCCGACGCCCCGCCGCTGGGTTAGGAGATCCATCAGCAATGATGATCTGATCGCATCTATCGATCGGGTCACCGATCGCTTAGCGGAATGCCAGCTCCTCGTGGATTCGGTCTTAGATCAATCTAGAGCGAGCGACGAATTTCCTGCACTCCAAGATCACCAAGCCGTTGCAACCGAGCGACCTGCGTGGCCACATTGTTCGAGGCGGCTAGATTCTGATCTGGTGATCACGGCCACCCCAGAGGTGTGCACGGTGCGGCGCCGACCACTTCCTGCTACCGGCCTACGCTCGGCCGATTACGAGGCCCCGATGGAGAACCCGCCGAAGCCCTATCCCTTCGGGCTGGAGAGTGCGGGATCCGCGTATCAGAACGCCATCCACCATCTGTTCATCGACCACGCTGAGCACGACCACGTCAATGATTTTTTTTGGAGTAGTTTCTTTTTCACTCTTAATTCATGCACTAAAAGCTCACCTTTTGCTGATTTTGTTTTCTGCTTGATGCCCTTACATAGATTCACATATTTTTCCCCAGGGAGGGTGCAAGAGTAGTCTGGGGCTATGTTGATCGTATTCTAGGTCAGCCTTCACTGATAAGGGAGTCATCACGAGGGAAATATCCCTGGTCTGGTTCCCTCTCACGTGCTACAGGTACCCTGACTAGCAAGCTGAAGAATGGAAGCAACCTAGGGAAGGACGGAAATGGGTTTGGTGATGTTATTCTAAATCCTCCTCTCCAGAAGAGAGTGAAGCAGCTTGCTAATGCCACGGCAAATACGAAACTTCATCAAGCTCCTTTCAGGAACATGCTTTTCTATGGGCCTCCTGGCACAGGGAAAACCATGGCAGCACGAGAACTAGCACGCAATTCTGTAAGTTTCATAGACCATACCTATGTCAGCATTAATAAAAACGTTTGAAATGCTACTGCCCCATTAATGTTGTCGCCACTTACAGGGATTAGATTATGCACTAATGACTGGTGGAGATGTTGCACCATTGGGATCACAAGCAGTCACCAAGATTCATCAGCTGTTTGACTGAGCGAATAAATCTAATAGGGGTTTGCTCCTCTTCATAGATGAAGCAGATGCTTTCTTGTGCGAGTAAGTGAAAACAAAATCTTCAGATACTTTTCTTGTTTGAACCTCCATGGCACCATTTGAATTTTCAGCATCATAACATGGAGTCCAGAAATTCTCTTCTGTTGCTAGCTTTAGCGATATTTTCGTGATTATCAAGAGAGTTCAAATCTATATTGTTGACTGTTATTAGTCATTCATCTATCACAAATGATTTTGCAATAGAAATGCATGGCTCTATAACTAATCATCTAATCGCCAACTGTTCGGTGACTTGAAATGTATTGAGACTTGATTGCACCAATGATTTTCTGTCATTGTTCTATTTGAGTGTGCTAAGATCCAATTATATTTCAGGCGTGTTTTCTCGCCCTTAACTTGCAAATTGTAGCGTTCTTACCCTTAACTTGCAACAGTGTTGACATCTCAGACTGATTTTTTGTACCCTGCAGACGGAACAAAACTTACATGAGTGAAGCTCAAAGGAGTGCCCTGAATGCTCTCCTCTTCCGCACAGGTGATCAATCCAAGGACATTGTCCTTGCACTTGCCACCAACAGGCCTGGTGATCTTGACTCTGCTGTCGCTGACCGTATTGATGAGGTCCTGGAATTTCCCCTGCCTGGGGAAGATGAGAGATTCAAGCTCCTGAAGCTATACCTGGACAAGTACATCATCAAAGCCGGTGACAAACATGAGAAGAGCTGGCTCCGTTTCTTCCGCCGCCAGCCCCAGAAGATCGAGGTGAAAGGCATCACTGATGACCTGATCCGGGAGGCGGCGGCTAAGACCCAGGGCTTCTCTGGAAGAGAGATAGCGAAGATGATGGCAAGCGTCCAGGCCGCTGTCTACGGGAGCAAGGATTGTGAGCTCACCCCAGGCCTGTTCCGCGAGGTTGTGGACTACAAGTTCGCTGAGCACCAGCAGCGGAGAAGATTAGCCGGTGAGGAGCCAAAGCAGAATGCATAGGTTGACCTTTTTTTTTTCATTCACCCCCGTTTTGCCGTGGCATGTACTGTGTTTTTCCCGGGATAGATTGCTTCATCGGCCAGGCGTTTTGCATGCCCCGTGTTATTCTTTTGCTCCATTCACCCTACTAGAGGGTCTTCGGTGGTAGGCGATGGTAACTTGATAAGAGATGAGGATTACATGTGGCTTGTGATGGAAACTTTGGTGATAGGTCATGTAACAACTCAGAAATCCACACACCAAAAATCACAACTACAAATTTTTTCTTAAAACTCCCATGTGATGATGAGTGACATTGTAGGAGCCAACCCTAAGAGTTGCATTAGAAGTAACCCAACCTAAGTCAACACATAAGCATGGCATATCATTTGTTGATTATGATTATTAAATTTCCAACAAATAACATGTTGCATACATTGTTAATTCAAGTTGTGAATTGGATTTCCATTTGCTTTATGTTATGCCTAATAATTTCATTAAAATAATAAATCATAAAGTTATTATTAAACAAAATTCTCTAAACTCCAATGAATAATTTACCTCAGTTTTGAATTCAAATTCTAAACCAAATTTGAAATTCAACCAACGGAAAAAGAAATGTAAAACAGAAAAAGAAAAAGGAAGAAGAATGCCTCGCGGGCTCGACCTGCTCGGCCCATGGCCAACCAAATTTCACCTCATACAAGACGCTGCCCAAAGAAGCCCGCCCAAGAGGGCCGCTCACGCCACAAGACTGTCACCCCGCCAAAGATCGGCCGCCAACGGACCCTTTGTCGGTAGCCTCATGTGCTTCTTCTCCATGCCCACGCCGAATCCCTCCGCGCGACAGAGCCCCGACAGCAATGGCAGGGTGGGCCAGGGTTCATGCCCGGGGCATGGACCTGTCTCCCCCTTGGCGCCGCGCCCACGCAACCCCTCGTGACCGTAGGATGCAAGCAAGCGCCGCGATTGCCCTTGATCCCTGTCCGCCGATCACCGAGCTCCATGGCCGAGCTCGGCTATAAAGGCCATGGTCCTCGGAGCCCTAGCGCTCGTCCCGTTGCCCGCCGCCACCTCGGTGGCCATCCACTACGCACCCAAACCTAGAGAGAAGAGGGAGAAGAGGAAGAAGGGGGGAAGAACGCCGAAGCCACCGTAGGGGAGGAGATCGCCGGAGCCGGGAGCGACGCCGTCGGCTACATCACCGACGCGGGTCGGCACGACACTGCACGGCTTTCGGAGCTACACGGCCTCGAATTGACACTGCACCGCCATCCTATCTCCCACAACACCTACGGTGAGCCTTCCGATCCCTCTCTGCCGTCGAACCTCACCGTCGGCCATGGCGCTCCACACCTGGAAGCGCGTAGGCCAGTGCCTTGCCTCAGCCACTTGGAACACATGCACCCACGCGCACACCGAGATCACCGTGACACCCCACCGGAGCCCATAGCGCACCAGTGTGTGCATCGCCGTCGACGCCGCCGCCATGGCGCACCAGACCACCTGTCCGAGCACGCGACCACCGTGCCGAGCACCAGACCACCTGTCCGAGCACGCGACCACCGGTCCGAACACGCGACCACCGGTCCGAGCACTGCACCACCGTGCGAGCACCGCACCACCGTCGTTGAGCACCGGACCACCGGTTCGAGCACCCGACCACCGGTCGAGCACACCACCACCGTGGCGATCTCGGGCTGAGCGCGCTGGTGCCTCCTTGACTCACCCATCCCATTCGGCCGAAGCCGCGGGTAACTCACGCGCGCCGTGACCACCCAGCTGAGTCCCGTGGTTCACCCGCGTGCCTCGCCGTCGTCTTCACCGTCCGTGGCGTGGTCAGCGGGATGTCCCCACCGGCCACAGGAGAACCGAGCCTCGCCTTGAGTCTGGATGACCTCGCCGCGCTCCCACGAATCCGTAGAAGCGTGCACGCCCCGCCGAGACGTTTTACCATGACCGTAGACACCTCACCGATACCGCCGTCGAGCTCGGAAGGGCGCCGCCATGGCCAAAGCCACCGGAGGCCCTGGAGGACCCCTCGACCTGCCTAACATGCCCATTGGGGCGTTGTGTCGCCCACGCGCACCATAGAGCTGGCCTATGCCGTAGCCCCGCGCCATTCCCGCACGCCGGTGGAGCCCGAGCCGCCGCTCGCCGTGGCCAGCACCTTGGGGAGGCTCTGGCCGCCACTTTGACCCCACTGACACAGTCGCCGTGGCCCAGGGAAGCTTTTCCCCTCCTCAATCGGACACCAGCGCCACCGCGGGGGCTCGCCGTGAGCACGCCACCGGCAGGAGCACCGTCGCGGTAAGAAATAGGGGAAACACCTCCCCTCGCCGGCCACATGCCCATGCACCCGGTGCACGTGGACCATAGAGAGAGAGGAGAGGGATGGACTTGGTCCACCATGGACCCTGCCTTAGGTCCATGGACCGTGAACTTGCGTCCACATGGACCACGCCTGCGGACCACAAACCAAAAAAGAGCCCACGACTACGACGTGGCGAGCCACAAAGACGCCACGTGTCCGGTCGGCCCGCCCAATCCGAAGCCCAACCGCCCGTTTGAGACCTAGCCCAGATGATGATCGGTCGACCGGTCAACGCGTTGACTGGCCCCACATGTCGTGACGACGGTGTTGCTTCAGACCCACACGCCGACGATGACATCATGCTGGCGTCGTGATGACGTCACGCGAGACCCACACGTCAGTGACCCTGACCGTTGACCGAAGACGTTGACTGTTGACTCGCTGTTGACTTTGACCGGACCCACCTGTTAGAGACTCAATAGCCTCTGGTCCCACCTGTCGGTGAGCATGACATTGATGACGTCATGCTGACGTCAGCTAGACCCCACCTGTCAGCTCAGAACCGTGATGCTGACGTCATGCTAACGTCAGCAAGCCACGTGGACCAACCACAGCGTGACACGCGTCAGCCCATGATTAACTCAACGTTTTTCCATTTTCAGAAATGGAATTAATCTTCGGAAATTCATAACTAATTCATACGACCTCGGAAAAATACGAAACTAGAACCAAAATTCATCTAAAATCGAGCTCTACGCAATGAACCCATGTTTGAGTGCATTTGGCTCTTTTGAATTTCCATTGCTTCTTTGTGCTATTCCATAGACGTCGCTAACGTGACTATAATGCGGTCGTTTGCAGACTCGGAGGAAAACCGGATGGACGAGGATCGTGAGTACCGTGAGGAGTACGGAGACGACTACACTGAAGGTGCCACATCCCACCCAATCTTGTAGCACCTATTACGCATGGCTAATATAGAAATCCTAGCGCTTACTTTATTGTCATGATCACATTATGGTAGGACTTGCATGGTAGTATGCTTTCTTGATGGCCTTTACCTTGACGCAACCTTACCCCTGCTCACCCTGCTGTTAGGCTAGTCACACGCTTGCTAATATATTTCATTGCTTACTACTTCTACTACGCTTGCACAATATGGAGGTGTGGTGGAAACTGGTGTTATCTGGACCATGGGGAGAGTGCTGCGCGTGTGACTTGGGTGCGTGGAGGGTGAGGGTTGTGTCGACCAAGTTGGAGTATACGATGAGCCTAGGGCAAGTCTTGCCATGGGGTGCTACCTGGGCACCCCTGGAATGGATACCTGTGGTGGGTAAATGGTATATGAGGTGGCCTTGGGTGTGATCCTGTGATGGGAGGAGCCCAGGGTGGAGGTGCTGTGGTGGCACGGTAAATGGAAACCCTGATGAAGACATTCTGGCTTGGTCATCCATAAGGACTTACTAGTACTTAGATTCACCGGGAAGCCTTACGTACCACTCGCCCTATATGGTGTGGGACGGCCGGACTACTTGGTAGGATATTGCCACTACTGCTAGGTTGTTAGCGGACAGTGTAAGGAGGTACGGGGTGTGGAGGATTTCCCCCACACCCTTTTGAGACTTCATGGAGACCTTGTGGACCCGGCTCATGCCTCACAGTTTCAGCCACCCCGGACTGGATTTGGGGTGTACCAGGGCTGAATGGTAGAGTGGCATTATCCTAGGCTAGCAAGCGGCCGGAATCAGCCTAGTTGACGACGGTCAGCGAGGAAGGCGGATCTTGTGGTTATGTAAAACCTCTGCAGAGTGTATGGTTGATCAATCGATACATATGCTGACTTGTCGGCTATGGACCTTTCCTGGGTTGCGCTTAAACTAGATAATGAGATGAGTCTTTCTATTCTCCCCCGGGAGTGAGTGTTCGGACGTAGCCAGGGGCTACGGGCCTTGAGACAGTGCCGAGAGGGAGTTGGCCTGTCCACTGAGCGATGGTACGGGTGTGTATGGTGATGGTGTGGATATGGTGGTTTATCGATCCCAGGATCGAAACCTGGCTCTGGAATGGGAATGGGGTGGAATGTGTGTGAGTGGTGTTAAAACTTGACCAACTATTATTATATACTTGGTATGTTAATGCATAGGAAACCCCAGCCTTTTAGGTTTCTCTTGATTATAACCAATTTGCATCAAATTTCCACAAAGCAATGCTCATAGGGTTGGGAGTGGCCAGTACAAATCGTACTGATAAATTTTGGCACACAGGTTCTGCTGAGGAGTATAGCTCCGAGGAGTTTGACGGTTGAGGGGTTCGTTCCTACGCTCGAGTTTGGCGATCTTATCTTCAAGTTGTTCTGAATGAATGCTACTTTTGATTCCGCCAATGCGGCGATGTAATAAATTATGTAATTCCGCACTATTTGTACTCTGATATTATCGTTGTATGGATGTGATATTCGACTGGAATTTGGGTAATATAATCTACAACAGTCTTATTACACTTTGACTCTGTGGATTTCCCTTCGTGGAAATCAGGGTTGTTTTAGTTGGTATCAGAGCCATACTTAACCATAGGATAAAACCCTTAGAAATGGACGATAGAATAGGACGTGGACAACCCTTCTTTCGATTATATACCGACCCTGCATTTACTTTTATGCAAGGCTTCTCTATTTATTGACCTACTAACACCTATTCCTTAAAACATG